ATCTAAGTCAAAGTTTACACTAGAGATACTATATGAGGAAGTTCTACTCCTAATTCCCAATCTCAACTCTTCAAGGGAGTAAGAAACATATATATCATCTGTAAGAAGACAATGGGAATGATCTTGCCAAAGGAAGTAACTTTGGCTTCTTTATTTCTGGAATGTGTTCATTGAAAATAACCATCAATCCAAACTTACTGGCTTTCAGTATTCTTCCTTAAATCAAGAAGAAATAGGTGTAGTTCAAACAGTTACTATCAGATCCATTGTTTTGTAGCAAATTAACCAATTTCAATTTTTAAAAAATTTCTTAAGGTCTCCTAATAACTAATTAAAAATGTCCAGCCCTAGCCAGTTTGGCTGTGGATAGAGTGTTGGCCTGCAGACTAAAGGGTCCCAGGTTTGATTTTGGTCAAGGGCACATGCCCGGGTTGCAGGCTCGGTCTTCAGTGGGGGACATGCAGGAAGCAGCCAATCAGTGATTCTTTCTCATCATTGATATTTCTGTCTCTCTCTCTCCCTCTACCTTCCTCTCTGAAATCAATAAAAATATATATGTTTTAAAAAGTCCAGGTTTCTTTTCTAGCCAGAACAAAAATGCTGCTTTTAATATCAATCATAAATACTCACACATTATGCAACTGCCTGTTTACTTAGTGGCACCAGTTTTGCAAACTAAAGATTATTTCTACTTTTCATCTCACATATAATTTGCAACCATTCAAAGGCTGAATGAAATTTCTCCAACGGACTTGAAAACAAAAAGTACATTCTTAAAGTTAGAACTGAATTCACTTCTTTTCCTTGGAACAGGAATTGGTACATAATACAAAATATACATTTATGAAATTTCTTCAAAAGTTTGGATCACAAAAACTGTAAAGAGTGGGTGAGTTACTGTAGAGAATTTTGTTATACACTGTATTTAGGAAAAATATTTCTGCAGTTGTATTAGTTTTTTTACACTTACAGATTTAAAAAATCTATATATTATACAACATGCTTCTAATATGTATATGGTCTCTCCACTCATAACATTTATACAAATTAGGAGAAATCATTTCAAGCGTGAAACTAAGCAGAAAAGGACATATTACCACAAACAAGTTATTTTCCTAAGTTAGTCAACAGCATAGACAATGAGTGGTTTTTGTTTAAAAAGTCCCATAAATGGGAAGTAAATAAGCTATAACTAAACATCCAATTTTGGCAACAAATGCAACAAGCTAATGAATTTTTTCATGATAGTTATATTTTAGTAGAAATCTCATTAATCCTGTATATTGGTGGCTGCATGTTAACATTCTGCATCAGTAAGTAAATATCTAATTCTTTGGAATCTGAAGTGAATTAAACATTTAATGAACTCTAACACCAGGAAGCTCAAAATCTGAGTGAGATCTGACTTAAATATGTTGGTTGTGAATATATTACATCTGCACCATGAAGGTCAGAAACATTCCAGAAACACTCAATTTCTGTTTTAACTCTTTCCTGTTGACTTTTGAAAGGTGGCAAAATCAGAGAATAATGTTATCCTCTATCCTCATACTAGTTTTTCACCTTTAATTACTCTCCATTTCCTCAAAACACAACCTTTAAAAAGCATATTTTAATGTCAGATTCCAGGGTAGGCCCACTTCTACCTCCTCTATTTTTCAAAAAGTGGAACAATTCCTTAAGAGTCAAATTATTTTGATGCCCTTGAAGTATTTCTTATGGCTTTGTAGGAAAAAAGCTGATGCCCTATTGTGCTATTATATGGGATCTTAAGCAGGGGTCCCTAAACCATGCAATATTGTATACTTTGTGGAGTTATATAAGGAAGTCCCTAGGATTCACCAGTCTCAAAGGGCCTATAACCCTAAAAGATTAAGAACAATTGCTATAGTGAATTTATGCTTATACCTAAACCTAATCATTACCCAATCTCCTACAAAATCTAACTTCAGATAGTACCATACAAATGCAAACGTTAGTAAATGTCTTTTACTGGGTCAAGAGAACTATGTAAAAAGAAAGGAAAAACTAAATTTTTCTAAACATTTAGTTCAATGACAAAGCTATTAGTAAAATACTGGGTTTGGAGCAATGAAAAGAACTGAAGGTTGGGTTTTGTGGTAAAGAAACACTGCATTCATTTTTCTCAGTAGTTTCTATGTTGAAGGAGCAGTAGTTTTTTGTTTTTTTTTTATCATTTCCCTTGGTGGAAAAATCATATTACCCGAAGAAGCAAAGTTGGTTCTTGCAGGTTTACGTATGCAACAGTTTTTAATATATAGCTGGGTCCAAGAAAGACCTTCCTATGACTTTAAAAATAACTAATTCTCCTCTTTATCCTCACTGGCATATCCCCACTCCTCCACCTCCCAAGTTTTCTTAATTTTGGCCGTTTTATATACTATTTGTTGGCTTTGGTGAGGTAATACATTAAGTTTTCTTGCTTAAAAAAAGGAATTGGCCAGTTTCCATCTGAAAAAAGAGAGAAAACACCAAGAGGCTAGTACAGGAAATGAAGCAACATTTGATACAGAATAAGTGGGGGGAAAAATCTCTTTGTTATTTTATCAATTTAAACACCCCCCACCCCCCCATTAATTAAAAGTATAAGTTTCCAACTACAACTTCAATACAATTGAATTTTTCTAATTGGCACACTCCTAACTGCTGGTAATATAATTAGAAAAAGATGAGATCAGAAGCCACGAGTTTAATATATAAAGCAGGTAAAAGAGAAATAATCTGTGTTGAGGTGAATAAAAGTAGAAATGTTCATTTGACAATGAATTGGAGGCTAATGCTTCTCATCATTTCTGCATAGAGCATTCTATCAGTAATAACACTTAACTGACACATTAACAAACAATGAAGTATTATAATCATAACATTTAGAAAATGTATTCTTAAATATTTCAAGCATATTCTGAAGTAATGTTTAATTTAAAACAAATACAATCCAAAACTCATGACACATTATTGAAAGAAATAAAGTAAAATTAGGCTTCTAAAATTTTAAGCTATAAAGAAGTCTTCCTAGCCGAAACCGGTTTGGCTCAGTGGAGAGAGCGTTGGCCTGCGGACTGAAAGGTCCCAGGTTCGATTCCGGTCAAGGGCATGTACCTGGGTTGCGGGTATATCTCCAGTAGGAGATGTGCAGGAGGCGGCTGATCAATGTTTCTCTCATCGATGTTTCTAACTCTCTATCTCTCTCCCTTCCTCTCTGTAAAAAATCAATAAAATATATTAAAAAAAAAAAAAAAAAAAAGAAGTCTTCCTAAATCCTAAAAACAAACAAACAAACCCACAAGAAAACCCTTACTAATGAAAAGACTAGATGACTCAATTAAAAAATGGTCACCTCACCAGCAGGATCTGCAAGCAAAAGTACATGAAACTCTTTAAAGTTCCTTAAACCTCAAATGAGTGACATTTATATCCTGAAATATTTACAGAGTATTTTCTAATACCAAATCCTAACATAAAACTGTACAAATAGCAACTAAAACATTAAAAGGCTTAAACCTTTCACTCAAACTTTATGAATTAAAAGCATATGCATTATGAAATTCAAAATTAAAACAAAAGAGAAAACCCTTAACCAATTTAATCATTTCTTTCAGAAATCACAAACTGAATTCCCATATTAATTTGTCCAATAAAAATAGGCAGTGAAGTTATTTTAAAAATTAAAACACATAGTAATCATTTAGCTAAAATTAGATATTAGCACTGGCAGTATGTTTTCAAGTAAAGAACAGTGTTTTACTTAAATAAGATAAATTTAGCTAAATATATATATATTTTAGCTAAAATTTCAAAATCCACCAAAATTTCCAGGATTGCAGAGTGCTGTGAAATCCATTACCCTTCTCTGACTTGCTGCTCTCAGCAGGAGAGTAAAGGCTATCTGTTCAAGGCAGTTAAGCATACTGAATAGACTTGAGCTTCATCAGTCCAACCTTATTCCTATGCTGAGCAAAATTTTCTTTTGAATGAGATTTTTAACTTTGTGGAGAAAATAAACAGATTTTTAAGTGAATAAAGGAAGTACAAATCAGCTGCTTAGGGTAGAGACCTTGTGTTCAGGAAATTATCTGGCAGACAGTAGGTGGACATTAACTATTTTTTTGGATGAGTGACCCAGTTTTACTAACATATATTAGGTTATAAATTCTACTCAAATGTAAACTCCTTGAGGGCAAGGACCTATTTATTCATTTCTTTATAGTACAAGATGCTTTGTCTAGCACAGTATTTTGCAGATAACTACTCAAAACATTTTGTGGAAAAGCTGAGTTATTAATTGGTCAATAGATGATCACTAAAAGTACTGCTATAATTCAGAGCATCTGAATTACATACTTGATTTATTCTTTGACCCAAATTGGTTATTTAGTTTTTTAAAAAAAATTAGTGGCGGAAGCAGTACACTCATTGCATAGTACTCTAAAAGCAAGTTAATGCTTTATAATTAAAAATATGTTTCAAATAGTTCTAAAGCTGAGTAAGAAAAATACCTCTAGGATTTTCAAAAGTTAACACTAATATTAAGACCTGCTTTTGTTATCTGTAAAAGTATATTCCCTAAGAAAGTAGAAATTAAGAGTTTACCTTGCTAAAACAATAAAAGATCAGTGAAATTCTTTAATGTTAGGGTAACAAGAGTCTGCTATACAAAATGAATCTCCCACTAAAAGCAGCAAAGTGGGTTCATCCTATTAAAACATTTAAGCGAAAGCACATGTTGAATAGTATATTATCATCACACATGAACTTTTTCCCTCCAAAGAAAATAACATACAACACATCAAACAAATTTTGAGGCATTGCCCTGAGATGCTAATTAATTAGCACACAAAAGGGGGCGGGAGGTCAAGAATTTAAGTGGTACAAAAATGAAGTGCACAACAGAGGTGCAAAAGTGCCTTTTAAAAGTGTGGTTGGTTCCCTACAACCACCATTACCCCCAGGAATGAAGAACACAGTTTGCTGTTACAATGTATATTTTCTTCCTGTATTTTAATAATGAAAAACTATACCTAATATGGCAATGCTGACTCATGTAGAAAAGATTTAGTTTTCTCAGATCACACTTCATACAGTTTTCTCTCACTTCCAAGCCTAATTTCAGTACTAATAACTTTAACAGAGGAATATTTTGATTTTTTTAATTTAAAGATCCTTAAATTTAAAAAGGCTCTACATATGCTGTTATGGTTTAAAATATAGCTTTCTATCATATGTCTTACTTGTGTTTTAAGATTTTTCATTTCAAAAACTAATTGAAGTTTCCAGAACTAAAAACTGAGTCTACTTAAAAAAATTAAGGACCTGGCTTCTTGCAATAGGAATTTAGTTTTCAGTACCAGTATGTCTGGTAATCAATCTATACTACAAGCACTGCTATTCATAAAATGCACATTTAGATGCTTGCAAAGCCATAACTTAAAACATTATCATACTTCGCACTTTACCACAGATTTTAGACATGAAGCATTTATTTGTAAGTTAAGTATGGAATTGGTTCTGTAATTCCAACTGTTATGAATTTCTAAATATAAATAGTACTTGTTTTTCTTAATTCATGCTAGATTAAAATATAAATTAAATACAGTTAAGTTACATTTAATCACCTCATGAATAAGAGGGATAATGAAAAGATTTTGTTGGTATGTAACTACTTAAATCTGAGACATTTCACATCACTTTTCCCACTATTCCCCTACCTTTAGATTAGTTTTAAGGCTATATATACAAATATGTATATTTTCAAATTATGTAAAAACAAAAGGAAACTAGTTATATTACCTTTTATACACAAAGTTTTGATCTTGTATTCAAATGTATTTTAATATTTTTCTAGTGGGGAATCTGCCTACTGAATGATTAAATTACATGGTATAAATACAATATTCAACCTAAAGAGACAAAAATACAGAAGGGCACAGAACAGTAGTCTTTTCAATGTGACAGATTTTAAAACTTACTTTTCACATGCTTAATCAGAGGAATTTAAGCCTAAATTAAATTAGTTATTTTTATATCTACAGTTCTTTAAACTTTGAGTTATTTTTAAAGGCCAACAGCTAAATAGTATCAACATGCTATATTTCAAATCACAAATACATCTTAACTACTTGGATTCTAAAGACATGGGCCAATTAAAAATCACAGGCAAACACACTCACAAACACACACACCTACCACAGAATGTTAGATTGTCAAGCTCTGACAATTATTTTAATTAAACAGTAGGCAAATTCGAGCTGATACATATCTTAATGAAAAATAAGCAGCCAGAAAGAAACCCATTTAAAAAATAGATTAAGGAACAACAGAGACTTAAATCTTTTAGTCTTGCTAATGGAAAAGAAACAGTTCCCTCTATGCCTTGAGTAACAGGATGTTCCAATTAAAAGAGACTAACATCTTTTCCCATAGAAACTTCTCATTTACAATGACATGGTGTTTTAAAAGGGCAAGGTAAAGGAGGAATTACACATACATGATTAAATTTCTTGTTCGTTAAATCAAGCTTTATTGATAAAATGGAATTCAGAATATCTTACTAGGAACAGCAGCAGGCCCAGCCAATCATGATAGCAAAATGTGGCAGTCTCTCCTACTATCTGTAGGAAGCTGCTGCTTATCAATTAATAATTAAATGTAAGGACTTGTAAAAGAGGTGCAAAGAATCAAGGCATTTTAGCCCCAAGACTGATATTCTTATGAATATACTGTATAACCTGCAATACTCATGGCAACAAGTAGAGAACAACTTAAAGACAATTAAGTGAAGGGACCAGCCTTATCAACAATGCCAATCCCACTGCCAAGAACATTAAGATAGTTTCCAATTAACTCCCTGGATGCTCGGCTTTATAAGATTTTGGAATTTTTCTCCATAATCATGTGCACAGTTGAGCGTCTAGCTGACATGGCTGCTGCTCTCTCTGTCCCAACCCCAAGTCCAAACACAACATGACTTGAAAGATCTATATATCTGTTGCGTCACACAACAAGCCAAACATTTCTTATAACTTTGATAATGATTTAAAGCAGTTCATAATTAAATATGAGCATTTTGTACAAGGACAGTTACACTTTACAAAAAACAAAATCATACAACAAAAATTGCTGGAGTCTGATTTACAACATGAATTATGGTTTAAAATCACGTTTACATAAGTCTCAAATTTACAAAAAAAAAAAATCAGTTCTGGGCTAGCTGTTGTACTGCTGAAGTTCTCTGGTGTAATCACTCTCACCCAGGTCATACGCCCTTCTTTAAAGATGAGGATGAATGTTAAAAGGTTCAATGAAGTTGAGCTGTACTCTCCTTTGGAGGTGAAGATAAACTCCATGGCTAGATGAGCAGTTTTACCACATATCATCAGTCGATGTAGAGTCCTTTATAAAAGGAAACAAAGCAAAACAAGGAACTAAATTAAAGCACAGAGGTGCCACAATACAGTACTTTCTGGACAATGAAGAAGATAGGTTTTGTAAAGTTGACTTTCAGAGTATGTTTCTTAAAGCTTATGTGTATATGTGTATATGAAATATCAATATTTAATCTTTCAAAAAATTGTTAACCCTTTGTTTTGTTTTGGAATACAATAGTACTTGAAATATGATTTTCCCATGAGTTTGACCAAAAGTATTTCTAAGCCAATAAAACCACTAAATATTTTTTCTTCAATAAAACTCAATTTTTATAACACTACTTTTATAAACTTTTTATTGCATAAGAGATTAAGACCTCAAGTAATATAAGATTCGAGGAGGCTTCACTTGCAATATATAAAATATTTCAGGACTTGCCCAAATGATTTGAAGTTACCACTCTTCTACACAAACCATACTGTAACACAACTGTAATAGGAAACTTAATTGAAGAATGGCATTCCAATGTCTATTTACATAAACAGAACTCTCTACTTTAATATTTAAATGAAGTATTAGTACTTCAGGTTCTTGGCAAAAGTATTTCCAACCATAAAAAAACTACTGAGTGAAGATGGGCATTCTGAAGTTCTGTTGTAGCTGCTTACAAACTCAGATCAAGATTCTGAGTAGATATATTATTCCCAACTTCAAAAAAATGTTTAGTGGAGGCAAACCTCTTGAAATTGACTGCTTGTAGAGGCTTAAAAAACCCACAATAATTCAAAGGGACTTTCTTCTTTTTTGAGAGAGGTGGCCACTCACCATGATTATGTCCTCAATCACTAGAACTGTGGTGCAGGCAGAGTTCAGAGCAATCAATCAGGGGTGTGTGTAAAAGAATGGGTGCAGTGAACAACTCTGCAAAAACAGGTAGGAAGGATATGCATTTAGAGTGGAGGGGAAGGGAAAGCAGAGGGAACTAAAATGCTACTTACAGTGTCATCATTTTTGTAAGGATTCAGTCTATTGTAAACGGCTTCAATTATATTCCGCCTAAATTTTAAAAAATGCAGAAAGTTAATTTTTCTTTAGAGCATAAAGTTGTTTAATAACTCACAGCCAGGTGTTGATTAAAATGTCAAAGATAATTTTATACTTGGGAATTATTTTAGTTCTATTTCTAGCTGTCAATAAGTGAGCCTCACTTTAAGATACTTGAGGCCCAAAGTTAAAGTAGAGGTAAATTTACTCTAAAATGTAATATGCCACCAACTTAATTAACAGAAGACTAAAAGTAATGAAAAAAAAATCAGCCACTATGATCCATTTCTATTGGAACTGTTTAAGTGGTTTTAAGTTGGCAATGATGAAGCAGTTCTTAAGACATACTAATATATTCTGGTTAAAAGTTGACTGTTTTGAACTAGAAGTTAACTTCAACCTCTGTGGTAGTAAAGTAATTTACATATATTTTACATTTCAGTTTATGCTTTTTGTAATGCCCCTTTAAAACAGTTTTATTAAAACTGAAGTGTACCTGGCCGGTGTGGCTCAGTGGTTGAGTATCAACCCATGAACCAGGAGGTCATGGTTTGATTCCCTATCAGGACACATGCCCGGACAGTGGGCTCAAGTCCCAGTGGGGGGACATGCATGAGGCAGCTGATTGATGATTCTCTCTAACATGGATGTTTGTTATCTCTCTCTTAAAAAAAAAAAAAATCAATAAAAACATATCTTTGGGTGAGGATTAAAAAAAACAAACTGAAATGTAAAGTATGACATTTCCCTGACAAGTCTAGGAATTCATTTTTGAATAACATTTCGTAAAAAAAAAATCTGTAGTGGTATTTTAGCTTTCCTACTTCCAAAATCAATTTGGAAATTTTATAGACATTCATTTCACAGAAGGTCATATGGGAAAAAAACGTTTCCTAAAAACAAAAGCTACAAACAGGAAGTTTTATAATGACTAAATGTGAAAGGATGATAAAAAAATATGGCTACACTTACGGAATACAGTGGAGAATCAATGAAATTAATCAATATATCCTTTTAGGTCAATTATATAGATATCTGAGGTAAAAATGTTTAAAACCTTAAATTATAAAATGCCTTAAAGTCTCCACTTTAGTTTATAAAGATGTAAGCTTAATATTTAACATAGTAAGTCCAGCTCTGTGAGATAAAGCGCAAAGAAAAAAAGGCAAGAAATGTAACCTCATACCAAAACCCAACCTACCAGCAATCAACAACTAAAAACACTGGGAAAGTCAGATGTAAAAAAATGGATCCGATGGAGGAGGAAAAGGATGCTAATCTCTGGGGTAAATTATCCAGGGCTTGACATGATCAAATATAATAATAGGAATAATGACACTTAGAATTTTGTAGTGCTATAGAATTTAATTAAAAAAATTCTTTCACTATATTATCTCAGTTATGCTATATAAGGAAATCCAAACCTCCACTAAGGACAGCTTTCAGTGTAATTAGCTAAAAACAATAACATTCTGATACCTATTCTAAACAAGCATCATATATCATTAATACGTACTGGAAAACACTGAACCACAAATAAAATGTTCTGAGGATACAGATAATTGCATCACTTTAGAAATTATGTACTAGTAAATATACATTTAATCAGCAAACACCTAACATTTTCATGTACTGAGATAAAACATAAGAGTATGCAGAATGTAACTTACTTGCTTGCCAATTCACCTCCTGGTGGGAGGCTGGGGATGTTCTCACTTGCTAATGTGCGCATCACATGGACTAAGTCAGGGACGCCTTCCCCCTGCTTCTTTATGATTTCTGGGAATCAGAAGTACTTTTTTTGTAAGTGTTATCCAAATTTAATTTAAAAAAACTGAAACAAAGATAACTTAGGTTTTTAAAGATGGCATTTACCATATCTGAGATTTTCTAAACTGGTGTAGGGGGAAAAAAATCAAGTTGACCTTTGAACATTTGTGACAAAGGGATGTACAAAATGACACAAAAGATATTTTCCATAATTAATTGCAAAGTGAAAACAAACAAGACAAAAATGTGAAAACAAAATTTCATGTTAAAATCAATGTATTATATAATCAGAAATACGTGTGTACAAATGAGTATTCTTCTTAAGATGCGAACTAGTTACTTCTGAAATCAGCTCCTCTCTTTAGACTAGAAATATATTTCCTGAACTTTGCCCTGAAAATACACAGATTTTAAAAAAACATAAACAATTTCAAGATTTGAAAAAAAATTAATGTTTAAGTACAGAAGAATTTACTGATTATATATTAATTACTTTTACATATAATTTTATATTTCAAAATGATTCCGAAATAGCATGTGCAGATTAGGTTATGTACTAACACATCATTCTATTTAATTTTTGTCTAAAGTATCTTTAAGCAATACAGAGATACATAATACCTTTTCCTTAGTTGATTATTTGAACAAAGCCTATAGAATGTAAAAGTCTAAATTTCATGACAAAATTTTTAAAAAGAAAAAAACTGATAAATCATACAACTGTACTTGAAATCAATAATTCAGTTATTAAATGAGTATAGTGATATGATCTGCAGTGTTGCCATGCAGATGCATTCATACCACAGAATACCAACAATTATGTACAAGCAACTTAAAGAACTCTCAAAGTAATCACTTTAAGTACAAGTCTTTACTTGAAGTTTTAGTGTATTTAATTCTAAATGCAAGATCATGCCAAAGGTATTTGTGTAAGTTATATGTTCAAGTTTGTTTAATTTTTTGCTTTAGTAATGTTTATTATACAAAGATATTTTCTTTGTCACCATTGGGGCAAGAAAATTATCATTCTAGTTCTCAATTTGTAAATACCTTTAAAATAACAATGCATATAAAGATCTTTCATTCTTTGATCGAATCTCAAAATATTAATTCATCCTTAAAGCCACCTATTAAAAGACAGACAATACTACCCATGTTTCTTTAAATGGCTCAAACTATCCTTTTGGAATTAAGGCCAAATTTTACCATCTATTATATTTTGTCTTTAAAAAAGAACAGTCTTAAATCTGAACAAAAAGCAAGGATCTCAGATTTGGTTTGCCAAGTTCCTTTATTGTGTAATCTTTAACATCTAGTATATTTATTCTACATGGTTCTAATGCTGGAAATCTGCTGTACAAAAATAAAGGGATTTGATGTTTACCTAAACTGCACAATTTCACAATCTAAAGCTGTAATTACACTTAACATACAGTCTCTGCTAAGCCAATACAATTACTGGGTAGATTACTAGACATAATAGAAATGAACACTGATGATAAATTCAATCAATGATGGTTTCAGGTCTAAAAAAATCATTACCTTGAGTCGTCTATACTTGATGTTATTTTACATCTCCTTTGTTAAAATATAAATTAGGATATTTTAATTGTGAAGAAAATTACAGGAAGACAAATTCTTAAAAAAATAATGTAAGATTTTAAAAACTGTTAATATCTCCTATTCCACAGGGGATAATACATGTAAATTATCTGACCATTAATACTACACTAGCCTTGTTTCTTTCTGCTTTAAAAAAAAATGAAAAGAAAGAACTTTAATAAATATTCCTTAATTGTTCTTGGACTATACATTTTAATTAGAATTGTAAAAAGACTAAATGCCTTTTATTGAACAACACTTATGTATAGAAGATAGATGTTTCACATACTCATATATAAACACATTCTGCTCTTCCATCCACTAAGTCTGAGAGATTCTAGCAGTTATCTCCAAATTAGCAACTTTAAAGCTTGGGCACTCAGTAGCAAAGATTTAAAAAATATGTACATACAAGTATAATCTTAAATTTACTTAGCAGGACCACAATCTTACGTGATATGGTGTAAATTATGAGCTCAATCTTTTCACAACCCAAGAAAGTCAAGTTTTAGATGGGCACAGATAATAGCAGGAGAGCTAAAAAGTCTCTGTGCTTTTGTGTAATGTGGACAGAGAAGCCAAAAGTATTCAAAACAAATAAAATGAGGTTTAGTAAGTCACAGCAATTTACTGAAGGCATGTATTTAAAGAAATTTTTAAAAAAAGGTATTCGATGTCTATTTTAGAAGCTAAGTGCAGTACTTTTCACTTTTTAAGATATAATTTTTATAATGCAAATAGTTATATCCTTTCTATTTTTTAAATATAGTAGTTTTAATTAATGTAATATTTATTCTCTAGTTGTAGTCTCATCAAATCTCAGTAAAGAATGTCATATTCTTTAATCTCCAACTTAATGGTATAAGTATAATAAAACTACAACATATCAAAAACATTGAGAATTAATGTTCAGGTGGCAATTCTTGTTCAATAATAAGCAATGTAAAACTCAATAGTGTACCACAAAATTATATATCTACAGCAATTATTTAGAATTGCATCAAAATTAAGAGTGCACACTGAAAAGTAGCAATTTATTTCTAAAATTTGATCCCATTTCATAGTAAATGAAACTACTTATTGTTTCTTTAAATCGATAAGAAAACATATGTGCCCAAGTTACTTTAAAGTGCCAATAAATTAAATATCAACTTATCCCAATACATATTTTTCTTATGGCTTCATATTTTTTCACTAGCCAGCAGTTTAAACCAATGTGATATGACTTGGTATCACTAAATATTTTATTTTACTGTATTATATATAAATAACTTACATTTAAATTATTCATTTAAAATATAAAAATTCTACGACCCTTCGTGAGGAAACAAACTCATTGAATAGTATGTCCAATGAATGAAATATTAAACAGTAACATACACACAGTACTAAATATATCACTATCAAGTGAAAAACTATAAAAACAGCAGCTATAGATAGTACTGCAAATCAAAACCAATCATGATTTTAATATCAGACTGATTATAACTGATATCAAACAGTAAAAAGGGAGAAAACAAAATTAAAGTGCAGATTGATTTTATTAATGCAGGCACAGCAGGATATAATAGTGTGTAGGTCAATGCTTACATGCTATTAGAGGTCTTTAACGTGCAAATTAATGACATTAGGAGCCCAAAATGCATTTTAATGCTATTATAGGCATGCCAAGTTTTTCTGCTTAAAGAAACTGCATAATTTACATGCTTATGGCATATATGCAGTAAACTGGAATTCTCTGAGATTTAATATTTATATCAAATAGTAATTGCATTAAAGATCATTTAATTTTTTTCAAGGATTTAAAGGCATTACATTCGAGAGTTACAAACATCTTTCTAATCATCTAATCAAAATAATTTGCAGAATTCTGACAAATATACTCCTAGAATTCCAAACTTATTTCTTGATTTAATTCAGCATTTATATTTCTGCTAGGTAGAAACCTAGTATGTCTTCTATTCAGGTCTATGTTGTCCAGGTGTGGCAGTTTATGACTTTGGCAAGAAAGTCTTAAAAGAGTTTAAAATAAAAATTTTAAAGTGGTGGCACATGGAAGTTGTTAACAACCATGCTGTGATCTTCAAGTTATTAAAAAACAAAAATAAAAAAACAAAACTCCTAAAGATCTCAAATTCATATACATGGCTTTACAAAGATGGTAATCAAATTATCACCATCGTAAATAATGTGTTTATAAATAAATAAACCACAAATTACTTTCCTGGCATAAAATCACTCATACCAGTGAATTCATCAAGAATTTTAAAGCATACAAACACTTGAGCCTTTTAAAACAAAAGTATCCTTAAGAGAATGTACAGGACCACACCAGTTGCTTTCTACTGCTAACTGTGATAAAAACAATCACAAACATCTAAACAGCTACTACAGAAATGCTCCTTCCCTCTTTTGTACACTAAACACTAGATGTCAAAGGCATGTAAAGATATAAAAGCTAAAATGTTAAAGTTTGATTGTGTTGAGATTTTCTTTAATAAAGAAACTTATTTTTTGTTAAATGATCCACCTTCTACTCTGCTTTCCAGGTACTTGTCCAACTCTGCCTCCTTCTTCACTGCTTCTGGCAATACTTTGGGTGCATTTGGGAAACAGATCAATATCACACTCATGTTGTCTCGACTTCCCTGGGAAGAAAAAAATTTGAGAAAATATTTTGGTTTTCTTTTTGCTCTTGGAAGCCTTGAGAACCTTTACAGCCATGCCAATTATAAATATAATTGTTTTAGTGAAAATAGATAGTTATTAAGGAGGAAAGAAATTTATGAATATGTGGAAGGTACACCCCTCCTAACACATATTGTACATATAGTACACAGTATAACCAACACTATAAAAAAAAAAGGACTGAAACACTACAAGTTAAATTCTACTGCAACAATTTTTTAAAATTCTATAAAACAAATATATTTCTGAACATTTGTTGGTGGCCCACTTAACCTAAAGTGATATGATACCTAAAGACAAGTACACATATACACAGACATTCATTTAATTCAAGAAAATAGAAAATTTGCCGGGAGCCGGTCCATGCTTGCTGTTTCAAGGGACCTGGCATATATGGAATACTGTTCTTAATATGTTTGCTCACCTTCTTGGCACTATGTGTTTTAACCAAGGTCTCCTCTCTGAGAAAGGTTGTTTCCCCAGGTAGGGATTTTCCCCTGAAGTTAGGGAGGGAATAAAACCTCTTAACTAAGTGCCAGGTGGGTAATTAATCACTTTAACTACGAACAATCGTGCTTAAGCTACATAATCTTTACTCCCTGGAATGAAGATAAGAAACGCCCTAACCTTTGTAATAGAGATTGATAGGATTGAATCAACTGGTATAAATACAGATGCAACAAGACAGCAAGAGACAGAACTTAGAACACAGAACTTAGAACACAGAACTTAGAACACAGAACTTCAAATACAGAACTTAGAATACGGAACCAAGAGAGACGGAACCTAGGCACAGAACCTACACAGAACGTTCTCTAGAGACAGAAGAACTTCGCTGGAGAGAACATGGCAAAAGTTCCTGGACAGAAACTGGCCTCAGAACCTAGAGACAGAACCTAGCGAGAGAACATGGTGTAAGATCCTGGACTGAACCTGACTACAGAAATTGGCAAGAGAACCTGACTAGAACCTGGTGACAGAACCTGGCTACAGAACCTGGCTAGGTTGCTGATCAACTGAACGCTGTCTCCATGTCATCTCTTCTTCGCCGACTCCGTCCACACCTTTGGGGACCCCTGAACCTGCTGGGGTTGGACCCCGGCAGTGTTTTTTTTAACTATATGACCTGTAGTTACATGTATACTTGACAAACTTACATTTAGAATAAATTATAATGAATTGTGGGGCTAATTTACTTTAGATATATCATTGGAATTAGAAGCAAAATTACATATATTAAGTTTATAAACCAGCTTTTAACTTTCAAACTTCAAAAAAATTGACTTTTTGAAAGCACATTCATTTTTAAAAACACCTAGGTATTCAAAATACCATAATTAAAATACTTGAATCAATGTGGAGTGCCCATACTTCCCCTTCCTATTAGTAATTGGAATTAACTTTTTACATTTTAAATATTTAATCTCACTATATGGGAAAACTGACCTTATATCATTAGTTTAAGCAAACAATACAAAGATTTAATAATAAAAGATCTTGGGGAATTTAAGTGTGGCAAATGATAAGGTATTGAATAATCCTATATAATTAAAGGCTAATATGTAAACTGTCCCCTCGACCAGGAGTTCAACCACGAGTTCGACCAGGGAGTGGGGTTAGCCGGCCAACTGCCCTGCAACCTCTCCTCCAGGCTGGCCTAGCCTGATGGACCCTGATCAGGGCAGGCCAGGCGGACCCACCTGTGCAAGAATTGGTGCATTGGGCCTCTAGTTTTTTATAATAGCTTATTTTTAAAGAGAGAGGAAGGGAGAAGAGAGAAACATCAACATGAGAGCACAACATCAATCAGCTGCCTCCTGTATGCCCCCTACTGAGGATTGATCCCACAACCTGAGTGTGTGCCCTGACCAGGAATCAAACCAGCAACCCTTGGTGCATGAGATGATGTCCAAGCAACTAAGCTACAATGGCCAGGGCTGAATAATTTTTAAAATAGTGTAGAATGCAGAAGAGAAAAAGTGGAATCTGAACCATATTTACTAATATCTGAATCTGACAATTCTCTTAAGAAAACAGCTTTTAATTTAGCAAAAAAGCATTTAATTCTCAAGTGCTACAGAATAAACCCAACAAATAGATACTATTTTTATGCATACTAAAAGGGACAAAGAACATATGCATCATTGTTTGATTCGCCTCAAATTAAAAAATTAACAGTGTACACTATTAAGTTGTGGCTCTATTGAATTTTTAACTTAAGTGCTGAATGTTACATAAACTTGACTCATGTTGGATGATACAAAAAAACTGATCTCTAAGTACAATCAGATTTTAATTAAGTTTAAGTAGAGCTGGCAGTGTGCATATAAAACTAGAGTATTGCCCTGGCACACGTGTTCCATGGTTAGAATGGTGGCTTGCACACCAAAGGGTCATGAGTTTGATTTCCAGTCAAGAGCACGTACCTCAGCTTTGGATTCAGTCCCCGTCCCTGCCCAGAGTGCGTGCGGGAGGCAACCAGTCAACGTGCCTCTCTCACATCCTCTCTCACATCAATGTTTCTCTGTCTCTCCACCCGCTACTTTCTTTGAAAAGCAATGGAAAAAATATCCTCAGGTGACAATAAACAAAAAATTAAAATTAAAAAATTTAAAACTATAAAGAGTATTATGTTGACTTTCTATTTCTGTATGTTAAAAGAAAATCAAATACATATAGCCTCAGAAGAGTTGTACATAATCAATATTTGCTTAAAACAATCAAAGAATTAGTCAAGGAGCATTACTGACAAGAGAGAACAGTGTGGTAGAAAGAACACTAAACCTAAGTCAAGTCTTAGATTCTAGCCTTAGTGCTACCATAGAAGTAAATTGTATAACCCTCTAGAAGTCATTTTTAACTTCTCTAGGATAGGGAACAGCATGTACTCAGTACACACTATTTGGTAAACTCAGCACTTCATATGTATACATTAGTTCATTAATTTAGTTACTTAATAATCCCAAGTTAGATATTATTATTTTCATTCAAAAGCTGAGAGGTTGATAATTTGTTCAATACCCTAGAGTACAAAAGTAACAGAAGCAAGCCTTGATTTTAGGTGTGTATGCCTAAGTCACAGAGCCTTCTCTAGCTTCAGCTTCCTCTGTAAAATAAAGGTGTTGAGCTGGCTCATCTACACACATGAACCCATTTGATCATGTCAACAACCCCATGAGACAGTGTATTAATATTCCTTACTTTTTTTTTCAATTAAAGAAACTGATTTTCTAGCTAAACAGCTTACCCAAAGTCATACACAGTCTCATACCAATTTCTTCTGACTCTATGTCCAAGACTATTTCTATTACATCACACCAACTAATCGCTCAGTTCTCTTTGTTGATGCTACAGATTCATTAGACTATAGTCTCAAAGCAATAAATATACTGAGGCCCTGACAGGTTTGGTTCAGCGGATAGAGCATCGGCCTGCGGAGTGAACGGTCCCAGGTCCGATTCCGGTCAAGGGCATGTACCTGGGTTGCGGGCACATCCCCAGTAGGGGGCGTGCAGGAGGCAGCCGATCGGTGTTTCTCTCTCATCGATGTTTCTAACTCTGTATCCCTCTCCCTCTCCCTTCCTCTCTGTAAAAAAAATCAATAAAAAATATATAAAAAAAAATATACTGAGATATCACAAGGTAAAAATAAAACATTAAAATTCTAAAATACTTTTCATTTACAGATACTGAGGCCTAACCTTTTGCTATCCTCCTTTTTAAAACATGCGTTTTTATACAATCGTTTTACCTTTGACAATGTTATACAATATTAAAAAGCTCAAGTAGTCATGGTTACTAAAAGACTAGCATTCAGATTATAATTTGTATATTCGGTAACAGGGTTGTTTATTTATAAAAAGTGTTCCTATAGTTTCATAGTGAAGAGTATCCTGTAATTATGGCAAAATCTTATTTCTGAGAACTATCAGGTTCTAAGATTATTAAATACTAGAGTAATTAAGATGGCATAAAATCATTTTATCTTAAAAAAAAAAAAGTCTAGCTACCTTATACAAACACGTGTCGACTACTTCATTGCAAACTTTCTCAAGGTCATCAGTGACTTCAAGTCTGGATCTTACAAAATCACAGAGCTCTTCATTTCCCATAACATCCCAAATACCATCACATGCAAGGATAATGAACTGATCATCTTCTTCAGATCTTTCAATATCATGGACTTCAGGCTCTGGTGAGACAAGCTGCTCTGTAGGACCTTTTCCATGGACACATTTGTAATCAAAGTCCCCAAGTGCTCTCGACACAGCCAGAGAGCCATTCACACGCTGAATCATTACAGAGCCACCTGCATTCTGAATCCGTTCTTTTTCCAGCGGATTATTTGGTTTGTGATCTTGTGTGAAGAAATAAACTTTTCTGTTCCTACAAAGTAAACCTCTCGAGTCTCCACAGTTAATGAAGTAAGTATGGTGAGGAGAAATTAAGACACCCACAGCTGTTGACCCACTTCTATCTGCACCATGTTTCTTCTCTGACATAACTCTCATGTGTTCATCAATCTCCAGAAAACCTGTTCTGATTCCATTCTTTACATTTTCAACAGAAGGTGCTCCTGCAGACCCTTTAAAATCCTGGTTATTGGTGATGTGATCTAACAAATGCTCACAGCAGTATTTGGCAACCTGAGAACCAGCATGCCCATCATACACAGCAAAGAATGACCATGTTTCAAGTCCGCTTGGCAAACCAATTACAGCTGTATGTGCATCCTCCATTTCAACTCGCCAGCCTTGCATGCTGCTTAGCCCATATCGCAACCCATTACCCTGCCCCTGGGCATTATGTTTTTCCATCTTTGGCTTGTCTAAAAATGCTCCCATTATGTCTTGATCCTTTAGGTCTGCAAAGGAAGAGAAACAAGAAAATTAATAACTATTTTGTAAACAAAAACACATATCCAACAACCTTTTAAAAGTGAAGGAGATACAAAAAAAAACTTTCAATAAGAATTTACAACTCTTGTGATTAGCAGACACTCATTGCATTGCTTACTTGGAACCTGGATATTAAGAAGGAAGAATTGGAGGAAAGACTGATCAGGAACAGCTAAGAATGGACAACAGGCAGAAAGAACTAAAGCATCAGGATAAAAATGGAGGATCAAACACTCTTTTCAAGGCATAACCACTTAAGGAAGAAAGACTTGGCAGAAGCCATTAACTTATATAAAGTAGGCTTCACGTTTGGGGTTGCATTAAACATGTGAATCTTTCAGGGAATCTCGGAACTAAGTTGTAAGTGTATATATTAAGAAAAGCCAAGTTAATTCACAGGACATACGAAAGGCTTACTAAATAAAAAATCTTAATGAAACATTAAAGCTTTTCAAAGTTTGATTCCAAATCACCTAGTTTTATTCCTACTCCATCAAACCTATGAAAAAGTAAAAAGTGATCTACTCACAAAGGTCCAAATCTGCACCCTTTCCTTTAAGCCTCTGCTCATGTCAGTCCCTTGCCTTTCCTTCCTACTTATAAAAAAAGCATTCCCCGCCTTTAAAGTTTACTTAAATTCTACCTTTTCTATAGGGTTTTCAGTCTTTGATACAGTCAGTAAGTTATTAAATTACCGTTAAGGGGTCCAGCTTCAAATTTCAAGTTGCAAAATAATTATACATACATATAACAAAGCTTACATATTAACAAATCTACTGTAATGTATTCTATTAATCTAGTGTTAATAACAAGTATCACTATTATTATACTCTACTAAAGGCCTGGTGCATGGATCTGTGCACCAGTGGGGTCCCTTAGCCTGGCCTGCACCCTCTCACAATCCGGGACCCCTGGGGGATGTTGGATAGCCGGTTTCGGCCCGATCCCTGCAGGCCCAATCCAGACAGGAGGGAGCCTGATCCCCGAAGGCCCGATCCAGACAGGAGGGAGCCCGATCCCCACAGGCCCGATCCAGACAGGAGGGAGCCCAATCCCTGCAGGCCCGATCCAGAAAGGAGGGAGCCCGATCCTGTGCATTAAGTGTCTGTCCCCTGGTCATCAGTGTGCGTCACAGTGACTGGTCGACTGGTCATTCGGTCGCTTAGGCTTTTATATATATAGACTAGAGGCCCGGTGCACAAATTTTTGTGCACCGGGGGGAAGAGGGGGTTCCTCAGCCCGGCCTGTGCCCTCTTGCAGTCTGGGACCCCTCGGGAGATAACGACTTGCTGGCTTAGGCCTGCTCCCGGGTGGCAGAGGGCAGGCCCAATCCCTAGGTGCAGCCCCTGGTCGGGCTCAGAGCAGGGCCGATTGGGGAGTTGGGGCGCCGCCCCCTGTCATGCACAGAGCAGGGTGGATCGGGAGGTTGCGATGCCACCCTCAATCACGCTCAGGGTAGGGCTGATTGGGGGGTTGGGGCACCGCCCCCTGTCACACTCAAGGCAGGGTCAATGGGGAGGTTGCGGCGCCACCCCCTGTCACGCACAGAGCAGGGCCAATCAGGGGGTTGGGGCGCTGCCCCCTGTCACTCAAAGGGCAGGGCCCATCAGGGGGTTTGGAGCTCCGTACCCTGTCACACACAGAGCAGGGCCCGTGGGGGGGGAGGGGGTTGGGGCGCCGCGCCCTGTCACACACAGAGCAGGGCCAATCAGGGGGTTGGGGAGCTCCCCCCATCAGGCACAGAGCAGGGCTGATCAGGGGGTTGGGGCGCCTTCCCCTGTCATGAACAGAGCAGGGCTGAAAGGGAGGTTGTGGCCCCACCCCCTGTCACACACAGAGCCGCAGGGCGATCAGGGGGTTTGGGCGCTGCCCCCTGTCACGGTGATCCCGGTGCTGGGAGGCCTCGTGGCTCCGCTGATCCCGGTGCTGGGAGGCATATTACCCTTTTACTATATAGGATAGAGGCCTGGTGCACGGTTGGGTGCCGGCTGGTTTGCCCTGAAGGGTGTCCTGGATCAGGGTGGGGGTCCCCACTGGGGTGCCTGGCCAGTCTGGGTGAGGGGCTGAGCGCTGTTTTCAGGCTGGCGGGTGACGGAAGCTCCCAACCGCTCCTTTTTTTCTTTTTTTTTTTTATTCTGGGCCAGCTTTAGCTCTGAGGCTCCAGCTCTTAGGCCTCTGCTGCTGAAAGTGGGTATCTGGTTTGTTTCGGTTCTATAATCGAAACAATGTATAACTCCAGCTCTGAGATCCTGGCTCCCTGAAAGCAGGTTTCTGGGGTTTTGTTTAGCTTCTATATTTGTTACAATGTTTCTTAAACTGCAGGCTCAGAGGCTGGCAGCAGCAGGCGGGGAACGTTGGAGTCCTCTGTCACTGAAGCAAGCAAGCCTCATGTTAGTTTCAAGCTGCCTGGCTGCCGGCCGCCATCTTGGCTGGCAGTTAATTTGCATATCGCCCTGATTAGCCAATGGGAAGGGTAGCGGTCGTACGCTAATTACCATGTTTCTCTTTTATTAGATAGGATGGTCACTAGGTATAAATTGTAAAGGAGATGAAAGGGACTACGGACAGCACTGTGGACAAACCTGAAAGTTTACCTAATCTAATGCTTAGCAATAATAAAAAACTAAAACTCCTGGTGTGAAAGGAGCCCACACAAGGCAGGGAGACAGTTGGTCAGGATTTAGATTGGCTTTTACTTGAGTAATAGTCTAGGAATGTAGAGACTTGGGGTCCAAGTCATCAAATGAGTCACAACTGAACACAAAGCAATCTGAAAAAAAGATAGAATGAGATTTGATGGAAGTGAAGGGGAGAAGGGTAGTAGGGAGTAGGAATGGGAAAAATTACCTAGGTAAATCAGGATACAGTTATGAGACTAGGGGATTGATGAAGTTGGTGATGCTAAGCTAAGCTCTGAGAAGAAGGTAGGAGAGAAAGGGAAAGAAGAAAAACGAATGAAACAGTTTACCAGCAACCTCTCCCTATTTCTTTTCCTACTAGGGTCAAACAAATATACTGGTAGAGAAGTCTGGTTGACTGGTACTATAAAATAATCTCCTGCCTACTCCTCTGCCCCTGTTGTAATTCCACTAGTGGAAGGTAAATAATGAAAACTAATCACCATTCATTTCTTACATTGGTATTCATCAGAGTACTGTTCTGACACAAAGTTGATACACATCACTTTGATAAATGTAGGGTGAGTGTTTTGACTGAACAAAAATTTAACATGATGACACCTTAATGGCATTGCTTAAGAATTCTAAAACTTCTCAGTGTTTTATAAGCATTATCTCATTCATTTTCCTCAAAAACCCTATAAAGTATCCTTTATAATAAAGAGGTAATATGCAAATTGACCATCACACCCTCACAACATGGCTGCCTACGACCAGGCCGTCAGGGAGGTTAGTGAGGGATGACCAAATGACTGAACAGCAGGCTGCGTGGGGTGACCAGGCTGGCGGGGGGCAGTTGGGGGCGATTAGGCTGGCAGGGGGGGTAGTGAGGGGAGATTAGGCTGGCGGGGGTGGGGGTGCAGTTGGGGACGACCTGGCTGGCACAGAGGGCAGTTAGGGGTGATCAGGCCAGCACACAGAGGCAATGAGGGGCAATCAGGCCAGCAGGGAGGGGCAGTTAAGGGTGACCAGGCAGGCAAACAGGTGAGCAATTAGGAGCCAGCGGTCCAGGATTGTGAGAGGGATGTCTGACTGCCAGTTTAGGCCCAATCCCCGAAGGGTCCCCAATTGGAGAGGGTGCAGGCTGGGCTGAGGGGACCCATTTCCGTGCATGAATTTCGTGTACCGGGCCTCTAGTGTAATAATAATATCTCCAACTTACAGGTGAAGAATCTTTGTTAGACTAATGAACTTGGCCAAAGTCATTCAATTGATCAATTTAGAGGAATCAGGACTCTAATTCAAAACTGCCTGACTCTAAAGCACCACTTACTATTAAGGCAATGATTCACACAAATATTATCTGTGGACCTTCTGAAAACTTAAGATTAATAAATCAGAATTTCCAGGGTAGGGCTGGAACCTAGGCATCTGTGGAAAAGATTAGATATAAAGCCTAGACAGGTAGAGAAGTCTGGTAGGTAGATGATTGAGCCAGGTGAAGGTAAGACATCTGCTGAAGGTAAAGGGAGTTGCCTTATCTCTTGATACCTTTAGCTAGGCTAAAGAGAAAGAAGAAGGTATTATATTAAAGAGGCTTGATGACCACTAATCTAGCATTCCTTATCTGTGCAATGGGCATAATAATACCTCTGAATATTGCTGCAAGACTTAAATGAGGTTATGAGTGCAAAGTAGCCATATAGAATCTGACAAAAATGATGCACTCAGCAAATGGAAACTAATTATTATTACACTAGAGGCCGAGTGCACGGATTTGTGTACCAGTGGGTTCCCTCAGTGTGGCCTGCAGGGATCGGGCTGAAACTGCCACTTGGTAGGCTTGCTGCCACTCTGCTGCGATCTCCAGGCTGCGGCGGCCAGTCATGAGCCCTGCGTCTGGCGCCTGTCGGTCAGCTGAGCGGCACTCCTACTGTGGGAGCACACTGACCACCAGTAGGCAGCTCCTATGTTGAGCATCTGCCCCCTGGTGGTCAGTGCACGTCACAGTGACCAGTCGACCAGTCATTTGGTTGCTTAGGCTTTTATATATATAGAAGATAGATTCCTACATACATAGCCACATCTAGATTCTAATTATCACCTAACAGGATCCTGACTGTCTCTTTTATAGAAAAGTCCAGAAATTATTTTCCAGATAAAGAAATGAAACTACCAAATAAACAATTCTTTTAAGATAAATAGGGTATACTTCCTAAAACCAAAACCCAAATTTTTGAAATACAAATATTAGAAATGTAAAATTTTAGGTTCAGCTCAATAGCAAATGTATAATATAGTCATGGCAAATTAGTTTTGTGGTTGAACGTTAATATACTGAAAATAGG